CACATCTGGTTAAATGTTATTAAAGACACATCTGGTTAAATGTTATTAAAGACACATCTGGTTAAATGTTATTAAAGACACATCTGGTTAAATGTAAGAAAAATATTGATCCTCTTTGTACTTTTTGCAGCAGAGGAAACAATCTGAGTTATTTTGGGAATGCACGTAAACACATGTGCTTTGGATCGATCTGAATAATTTCATAAACACCAAAATTGATCCCTCATGTAAACTGAAGTTGCAACATATTCTCTTTGGCCTCTCACATACCCACAAAATAACTCCAGGAAATAAATATTATCAATCTTCTGATTATTTTTGCCAAATTTTACAAACATTGTACAAAATCTTCTCAACAGCGTCCAAACATCTTTTAAAGCCCTGATTGATCTGGAGAATCTCAAGAACAGTTCTGACTCCAAAGTGTGTAAAACACACGAGCTGTGTCGAACGTTTAGTTTCACTTCACTTACATGTTGTTTATTTACACCTTGAGCACCTTTTCAGTTATTTTGTTTATTTGTTTTCTCCTAAAGTAAACTTTTTTGTTTACATACTTGTATTTGTATACGTAACTTGTCAAAGATACTGCACGCTGTGAAATCTTCTATATTCTTGCGATCGTGGGGTGACCCCTCTACCTGCTGAGCTGTCCCTGTCCCCAGGTCGCCGGTCTGTTGCAGGGCTAACAGAGACCATTTGCAGCTCACCCCACTCACTGCCGGTCTGTGGACCGTAGGAGGAAGTCGGAGTACCCGAACAGACCCCACGCAGACACAGGCCCCGCCCACATGGGAACCCAGGACCTTCTTCGAACAGTACTAACCGCCACGCTGAATAAGTCACATGACCGACTCGCTGCCCTGGCAGAGCGTTCCTCCCTCACGATGGCCACTAGTGGACAATCGCAGTACTGCACGTGTTTTTACTGTCTCCTCATCCTGGAGGAAAACTAAAGAAACCAGGACGACCTATGACTGTGGATCTACGCTGCGCCCAGGCAGCTTCATCAGATCCCTGAACGTGGCGTGGAGTATCGCCTCGCACTGCCGCCGGGACTGACCGCCATGTGTGGTTTTGATCTGGGTGGATAAATTTAAACGAGCTGTGCTGAGCGCCGCGGTCGTTGTGGAGCGTCAGCGACTGGTGTGATTCTGTTAAACTCAAAGACGTGCAAACGACTGTTTTTACCTGCTGGGTGGGCGTGTCCCCGTAGCTCTGACGTCGGGTGATTTTACTACTCAGCTGTAAAGAAACGAAACCTGACTCGCCGTCAGAACTCGCTCAGGATTTCACAGACGAGTCGAGACAAGCAGAGAAATGTGGCGGCGACTGAGCTGTGAGAGCGAGCAGCTCTTTGGAAAGATAACAGGAAGTGCCGCGGCCGCTTTGAAACCTGAACACGACGGCGGCGCTTCGAGCCGCTGCAGTTCGGCCTGTGTGATGATTTTAATCACATCGCTTTGACGGGTGGAGATTCACGACGCTGATGTTGGGGTCAGAGGTTAAAAACTGCAGCTCACCCGTCTGCACGGGGGAGGAGCTCCACGCTCACACAGGAGCACCAGACCCATCAGTGGGTTAGTCTGGTCTGAGCCACGCCCTCTGCCGTGGGCTGACTGACAGCTCAGGGGGAGGAGCTTAGATTGGCAGCGCAATGTTTTATTCCAATTTAACCTGCAGTCATTTCTCAGGGCCTGAGTCAGCTGATCGGCTGACACAGAAACAATAACTGATCAATAAGTAACAGAGAGCGCAGACTCCAGGCTGTGAATGCAGCGTCACCATGGTTTCACGCGTTTGTGTACCTGGTGGCAGTCGGACCAGGTGGTTCCTCCTGATGTTCAGGTCTCTCAGAGCCTCCAGCTGGCCCACCTGAGCAGGCAGAGTCTGGATCTCGTTGCAGCTCACATCCTGTGGGCGATCAAAGATAACGATAATCAATAAGCGCTGCGATCGGTCAGCGAGGATGGCGATGTGCGGCGTGAGAGGACCGACCAGCTCGGTGAGGTGCCTCAGCTGTCCCAGCTCCTCCGGCAGAGAAACCAGCTTGTTGTTGCAGGCGATCAAAACCTTCAGAGGGAGGCCGCAGACGACGGCGGGCAGCACCGACAGCTGGTTCCGACTGAGGGGAGGGGCATTAAGAGAGGGGCGGGGTCAGAGACACAGGCATCCAGCTGTAAACATGTGACAAGTGTGCATGTGACAGAGAACAGAGGAAGAGGAGCACTACGAGACAAAACAGAGTGAGACAAAGAAAAAGACGATGAAGAGCAGAGAGGAAGA